ACAATAATGTAATGGATAGCCCAGGCTTAGAAATCAGACCAGCCTGTATTGAAATCCAAGCACTACCAAATATTAGCTTTTTTGGTTTTGACCAAATGGTGCTCACAGTGAGATCAATTTTCTTAGATGTAAAATAGAATTATTAATACCTCCCTCTTAGGGATTATATGAGAATTAGATGAAATACCACACTTAACAGAGTGACATAAATACAGAGTGCTCATTAGTTTTTAGTTCTCACTGTATCCACTTTTCCTTTATCTCCTGCAAACTTTTCAAGGACTCTCAACTTCCCTGTCAGATGTTTTTAGTGAAGAGAATGTCAAACACTCATAGAAAGATTTCAGAATTACAATAATTTATGAGTTAGAATTCAATACTTTAAGACTTGGCCTTTCTTCTCTCGTAATTTCTCTATTTGCCCAGATTCTACCAACCATAAGAGTAGAGAAAATAAGCTATATCTATGAGTTGAGATAATTCTTGCCAGAAACCCACATTGTCAAACCATGATCTTTGATGTTCTATACAGAAAATGACAACAGACAACAGTGAGCTTGTACTTTATGTCAGGCACCATGCTAAGCACTTTACATGCATTATCTCATGGAACCCCCACAACAGTCCTGTGATAGGCACCATTATCACCCCTCCTTTTTTTTTTTGAGGAAGATTGACCCTGAGCTAACATCTGCCAATACTCCTCTTTTTTTGCTGAAGAAGACTGACCCTGGGCTAACATCCATGCCCATCTTCCTCTACTTTATATGGGACACCGCCACAGCATGGCTTGACAAGCGGTGTGTCAGTGCGCGCCCGGGATCCGAACCGGCGAACCCTGGGCAGCTGCAGCGAAGCATGCATGCTTAACCACTTGTGCCATGGGGCCGGCCCCTATCACCCCCTTTTTACATATGTGGGAACTCAGGTATAAAGAGCCTGAGGAACTTGCCCATGATCACACAGGTAGCAAATAGAAACCAGTAGCAAAACTCTTACTCTTAAGCATGATTCAGATTTTTATTATTAAAGAGCAGTTTCTCTAATCTACGTGTGTCTACAAAAGAATAGCAGTTTTGCACTAACAGACATTTTCCTATGTTATCTTGCTCAATCTTCCCTATAACTCTGTAAGACAAGTATCATTAGGGCTGTGTTATAGACTCTGACTGGCTCATGCACCCATATTCCCATGACTAGAACATTCTGTGCCTTGGGTCCTAGACTCTAAGATCACTTCCTAAATACAATCACAGAGAGGTTGCAAACCCAGCTCAGTCAGCCCTCCCAGGTCCACTTAGTCACAGATGCTATGGCCATAGGGGAGAAAGGATAAACTGGTTTGGCTGCCATCTTGGTTGAAGCTGCTAATTCTCATCCTCTAGGATTTGAGAGATCAGAGTCTCCTTAACTCCTTGCATTTGATTAATATCCATTTACATATTTCCCTGAAACCACAAGTGAAAATATTATATCCAGAACGGGGAAGACCACATAAGCTTAACGAGCCATGGATCACAGAAGCTGTTTGATTCTGAGGTTTCAACCCATTTGGATCCAGACTCTCAAGGACCAAAGGAGATATCTATGGGCTGAGCACAGGCTCATTAAGAAAAGGCTTAAAAGAACTAGCATCAGGGACTTGTTACTCCAAGGCAACTTTCACTTGTTGCTGATTTTATGGTGCCCGCAATCCTTATTTTTTCTGCTTTAACACGGTTTGTCATTTTCAGGGCTTTAAATCAGGTTAGATCTCAAATCAAGTGGTTTTTAAATATACTTCATATGGCCACCAAGAAAAATTGTCAAATGTGTAGTAAGGTGACTTAGAGAGAGATGTCCTCCAATGGTTAGGTTTTTTCCCCATCTATTTCTTTTGAAGCCTAATGCTTTGGAAGCTGTCTGACTAGAGAAATTCATTATCTAAGCTGGGAGGCTTGTGCCTCAAACTCATAGGATGGTGTGACCCTATAAAGCGAACACAAAGCCAGCCCATGGACTCAGCATTGTTTAGGAATCCTCTCTTGGTAATCATTTGCAAATCACTAAGTCAGGAAAAGAAATATTATACTTAAGATAAAAATAGATGAACCTGCAAAGTAACATTACTGCTGGGTCAGTGATTGCTACCTCCACGCAAAGTGTGCTCTACAAGTAAGGTGTCTTTTTGTAAAAAGAACCTGTTCCTTCTTTCCCAAATGCATTCTGAGAGGTAGGTACTATCTGCGATTTCTTTATTAGTATTTTTTTCTCAAGGTGATACTAGAATCTTCGATTTACAGGTGAGTTATATTTAAACATGCGTTTCTACCGTCACAGATTTTTATGAATAATGACCAGCATATTTAATCTTCTATGAAAAACAGTCATTCAGCATATTATGAACCCAGCCCCGAGATAAGAAGATAAAATTTATTTTCTTAAATTATTTTACCTATTATAAAGGTAATATATTCTCTTTGTAGGAAACTTGGATCAGAAAATTTTCAAAAGAAGAATACAAAAGTAGCCCTCAACTTGTAATTCAAATAAGCACTGTTAGTCTTTAGTGCACTTTCTTCAGATACTTTTCTATGTATATACGTCATTTTTGACAATTTAGATCATAACATATAAGCTGATTTACATCTTGTGTTTTCCGCTCAATGTTATATTGGAAGAATCTTTGCACGCCACTAATTCTTCTTGCAAATAACTTCAATGTCTACCTGATATTTCATAACTATAATTCACTTAGCTGTTTTTCTTTATGTAGACATTTGGATTGTTTTCACCTTTTCATTATCGTAAAAAATGTGAAATACGAACTGTATGCATAAATTTTGTCCATATTTTTTGTCTAGACTAGATTCCCAAGCATAAGGAGTATTGGACCAATGGACATGACCAGTTATAAAGCTCCTGTTATATAGAGTCAAACTTCTTTCCAGAATATTTTATACCAAAACACACTCACCAGCACTGGGTAATAAAACTAGTCATAAAACTTTGCCAATTTGCCAGTTAAAAATATTTCACTGTTTTTAAATTGTAATTCTTTGATGACTTGTGAAATAGAGGATTTTTTAGATGACTAATGTTTTTTCTGAGAATTATCTTTTTATCAAATTTGTCCTTTTTTTATAGTGGTGTAAGTAGACCTTGTTTTGTAAAAACTATTTCTATAATAATGGGTATCTGTTATACTTGCTGCGAGTATGTTTCCAGTGTGTTCCATACCTTTATGTAATTGAATCCTTGGTTTTGTCCTGTATTTTACACCATTGAATTTTGCTTAAAATGTTTTTCCCCATTCAGAGCTTAGATCTATGTTTCTTTCTTTGTTTTTTTTTTGTTTTTTTTTGAACAGATCAATGTTTTACTTGAAGGCTTTAGTACACACTATTCTTTTTTTTTCTTTTTCTCTCTCTTTTTCTTTTTTTTTTGGTAATGGGTTGACAAGAAGACTTACTTTATTTTGAAGAACACGTATCCAGTTATTGAAAAATCTTTTATGAACTGCATGTAACATTCTTTTAATATTCTTTAAAAATAATGTCTTTTTGCAATTTGTACTTGCTCCTTATTGAGCTTATTGCATTTGCATTTTTAAAATATTAAAAAAACTTTTGAATTTATTTATCAAGTCTAATATTTTTCTATTGCCTGATGTATTGATTTCTGCATTCTACCTTTTTTCTCAATATCATTGGTTGTTATTCTAACCTCTTGACTTGAGTACTAGTTCATTTATTTTCTCTCTTCATTTAGGTTCTTTCTTAATATTTTAACAATCAAATATTTCAAGGTAAGAATAATGATGTGTAGATTTTTTTTTCATTTTTATTCTTGTATCAAGAATTTGGAATGTGTGGAAAGTTATGCATTTTACCATTAGAATAAAACTTTGGCCTATATAATAATGATATTCTTCAATTACTCTCTTTCATTTGTTGTTTTTCCTGTTTTGCATGTGAGCAAGTTTCAGTGCAGTAAGACTAGGGTCCCATCAGTGGCTACTCATCAGTGAAAAGAGAGTAAAAAAATAGCCTAGCTGACTAAAGAACAGTGTTTAGTTCCAGTGTCAACAAATTATGGTGCTTTTGTTTCCTCACCTTAAAACTATATATTTTCTACATAGATCCACAGAACTTTTCATAGTCTTCCCTAAATTGAGTTTTGATTTGCAAAATGCCCCTGACACCTAAACATGACAGAAGTTCTCCAGAGAGTGAATTCTAAAGTTTCAAATAAATCTGGGGAATTGCCTTGCCTCAAGCTGTCTGTGTTATCCTCTTCAGGATATCCTTTTACCTTCTTGTGTGATGGTATTCTTAGACAATTATGTTTGAAGGTAGTGTAAGCTCACAATCTACTTGCCAGGCATATCTTACTGGATCCTCAAACACTCACTCAGTTCAGTTTTTCTGAAATGTGACTAGTTCCAAATTGAATTTACCTAATTGAATTTACCTAATGTTTTATATCCACCCTGAAACATGTTAAAAATAACAGGAATAACAAACTCTGCAGCTTAGCCCCGTCAGCACAAGTGACTGGAGGAGAGACACAGGGAGGTAGAGTCTCCTGAATTCAAGCCTCTGCTCCTCCTTACAGTCCTCTTTTTATTCCTATTTTTCTATGGTGGATAATATTATGGCAATTGATGGGACAATATCCATCCATGTACAATTACAAGAAAGTGCCTGGCATGTCAACAACCATAAAACTGTGCTGTGTATATGAATGAGTGTGTGTGTGTGTGTGTGTGTGTGTGTGAGAGAGAGAGAGAGAGAGAGACAGAGAGGGAGAGAGAGAAGAGGGCGATGTGTTCATTATGTGACTAATAATATGGCCCAACGTTAAATCTTAGTTTTATCTGCTTGGGGTTTCCATTCATCTTATAGAACATAATCCTGACAGAAATTATTTGCTTGATCAAAATTTAGCTGCCACAATTGCAATTCCTGAGCTACTCAAGGATAAATCAATTATCCAAATGCCACACAGGATTCGTGGAGCGAATGAACAACGTGACTGAATTCATCCTGCTCGGCCTGACACAGAACCCGGATGCACAGAAACTCCTGTTCGCTGTGTTTACAGTCATCTACTTTCTCACCGCGGCAGGTAACCTACTCATTGTCGCGACAATCACCACCAGCCGAGCCCTGGGTTCCCCCATGTACTTTTTTCTGTCTTTCTTGTCCTTCATAGATGGCTGCTGCTCTTCTACCATTGTTACCAAAATGATATGTGACTGACTTGCAGAAAAGAAAACTATCTCCTTCAGTGGGTGCATGACTCAGCTCTTTGCAGGGCATTTTTTTGAGGGAGTTGAGATCATCCTGCTCATGGTGATGGCCTATGACCGCTATGTGGCCATCTGCAAGCCCCTGCACTACTTGACCACAATGAACAGGAGAATGTGTGCCCTCCTGGTGGCTATAGCCTGGGCTGGGGGATTTCTTCACGCTCTGATTCAAATTCTTTTTGTAGTCTGGTTGCCATTCTCTGGCCCCAATGTCATTGACCATTTCTTCTGTGACCTCTTGCCTCTGCTAAAACTTTCCTGCACCAACACTCACATCTTTGGACTTTTTGTGGCCACCAACAGTGGGCTGATGTGTATGCTCATTTTTTCTATTCTTATCACCTCCTATGTCCTCATCCTTTGCTCCCTAAGAAGTCACAGCACTGAAGGATAGTGGAAGGCTCTCTCCACCTGTGCCTCCCATGTTACTGTTGTCGTCCCATTCTTTGTACCCTGTATATTTGTGTACCTTCGACCCATGATCACCGTCCCCACTGAGAAAGCGGTGGCTGTGTTTTATACTATGGTACCACCCATGTTAAACCCTTTAATCTACACTCTCAGAAACTCAAAGGTGAAAAATGCCATAAGGAAGCTCTAGAGCCAAAGATTAATCTTGGGTAACAATTCATGTGACTAGAGAAGATAAAGACACAACCTGTTCATATTTTAAGAACAAGTGTGACTGATAGAAGGACAGTGGTCTTGAAGTCAAAATATGTACTTTAAGTATATTTTGCTCCCCTTTTTTCTGGAATCTTTAATGGTTCGTCTTTCATAAAATATCAGTATTTGATTAAATGATGACTAAAGCCTCCTCCAATTAGAAACTTCTTTGCATTTACAAATTGTTGATCAAAGGGACTTTCGTAAAGGTTACAATGTGTGGAAAATCTCTGAGTTTATGTATTCAGCAGAACAAGTCTCTATAAAGCTTCAGGTATGGATTATATACCAATAGGCCAAATAATTAAAATATTTAAACAAAAAGGCTTACTGGCTAAGTATTTTATTGAAAATGCATAGTTTTAATCCCATCTACTGTAGTCAAGGTAGATTTATTATTGTGAGAGATAGAGCTCAACCAGAAATGAATGGGGTTTGAGGAATGAGAGAGTTATTAAGGCAGGACTCATCCCCAAATTAATGCTGCTGTGTTGCACAATTTTAGGGGGTGCCATTTACATTGTAATCTGTGCTTTTCTCAGCATAAATTATTTTCTCTGCCTAAAGCCAAGGAGGATTATAAAATTCTTCCAGGTACAGTCATAGAGCAATCTTGCACATGATTTCCAAGGCAGAAGATATTTTGCAGAGCACTTTTTTACCAAAGATGTCCTATATACCACTTCACCTCCAAACTGGCTTTTATTGGATGGATTTGTGCCTTAGCTAATAGAAATAAAAGTATCAGGAACAAATGAGAGAGTTGATGATATCTGAGTAATCAAGACAGAAAGTGTGCACATTCAAATTTGAACAGAAAATTTCACAACAATTGCAGATTAATGAGATGGAAAATAATTTGAGATGTAGAAAAAGTGCAATTTTAAGAGAAAGAACCCAGATAAAAGAAGAGAATCAGGATCTAGGCCAGGACATCATAAGTCCTCCAAATCCTAGCAATTTCACTTCTACCTTCTTAAGGGCTGAATTAACCCAATGACTCCATAGTCATGGCTATATCTTATGTTGAATATATATTACATAGAGATTAATATTCAATCACTTAGTAAACAATCTATTCCAAATGGGAGATCAGTTTTTCTCAAACATGGCCAATCCATTTACTTATCTAACCAAGAATCCATGTGTTAATACTGTATTTTCCAGCCACTTTGTTTTTAAGGATGACCATGTTTGCAGGAGTGATGTGGGTCACATTCAGGCTGAACCATTTAGGAGCCAGTGTGCTACTCCCCAGCTTTCTTTGTCCCTGCTGCAGGAGGCCTGGAAGACACACATTGAGAAGGCACGGACACACAATGGAAGCAACACAGATCATTGAGTAACTACAAGGAAGACAGCTTCCCTGGAGCATCACGTAACCTTCAGTGGATTACACCTGAATGGGAAATAAAATTGTATGTGTCAATCCACTGAGAGTTCAGGATTCATCTGTTACCACAGCAAAATGCAGCTTATCCTGACTAACGCATTGACTAACTTTATCTTTTAAAAGACTTATAAATATTAAGGAGAGAAAAGGTTAATATAACTTTTGCAATTAGTCAGGGGTCACTCATATGATGGGGAATGCGTTGGTAGGTGATTTCATTGTTGTGCAAACATCACAGAGTGTACTTACACAAACCTGGATGGTAGGCTACATGGTACCAGTCTTATGAGACCACTGTCCAATATGTGGTCTGTCATTAACCAAAATGTCATTCACAGTACTTTACTGTATCTTAATTCTCGTATAGAATGGAAAAAACAGCAATCTTTACAAAACCAAGTCCACATAGAACCTTTTTTGCTTCATTGTAACACACCACTCTAAACAAAGTAGTTATATGATAAATTTATATACCATATTCTTTTTCCCTTCACCTAAGATGTAAGGCAATAATGATTAAAATTACAAACTAGAAGGTGCTAACAAAAATTATGAACTCAAAATGTGAACTGGAAATTCAAAGCTTCTTGATCAAATCTTCTGGCTCTTGTAGACAGTTCCTTCTTCCTACACATTCTTCTGGGCATATGTTCAAGTTTTTCACCAATTCCCTATAAAGTTTATATCACAAATTTTCCTTTTATCCCAGGATAATACTATACTTCTTACTTACCAGGAAAATAGAACCAAAACAAAATCATTCCTCAATCTTAAACCTCCTCATAACTGTATCCATAATCTCTTTTTGCCTTTCTGCTCAAACTATTAAAATATGTGCAAGCCCTCCTATTTAATTTTAAAACATCTTTGTGGGTTATGCATACAACTGCCTCCATTCTCCTCAAAAATCTTAGTTCGTTAATTATCACCTTTTTTTGGTCATTAATCTTTATGTTCAAACTGAACTGCCACTCTTATGCAATCCAGGGCCAAAAAGGGAAAAAGAACTTTCAGCTCCAATCTCAGCAATCACTTAGTTTCCTCCTTAGTTTATTCCCAACCTCATACATATTCTTCCCTCTCCTACCAAAGTCTCACTATTAGCTTATTTCACTTTCCAACACATTCTTCCTTCTATAAATAAGGAGACCTGTTTTTCTCACTGAATTCACTACCTCTTTGAATCATTTCACCATTCCATCAACTACCAGACTTCCCTCAAAATATCTAAGGATTTTGGTAAATCTGAGGGTTTGGGCTTCAGAAGAAAAAAACTATAGAGAAGACGAATAAGTCTAGTTTTCTTCTTGTCTACTTGAAATAAATGATCAATCAGAGTTATATCTATTCTGTGTAATTGCTAGGAAATTCCCACTATGGGTTGGCCATCTTCTCTCTTCTGATATCCCCTTCCTGGGACAGAACTCCTACCAAGCAGTTAAGTTGAAGGAATCCATGCTCTACATACATGAATAGGTGAGTCTCTGGATCCCCAAGGACTCTCACTTCTTGCTCAGAAAAGTTCTCTCAAGAGTGCGTCATTCCGTGGGTGGGGAGGATGCCAATCCCTATGCCCCATCACTTCTTTAAGTAGAGGAACAGCCTGAACTCAAAGTGCCAAGTAAATTACACCAACCCAGATGATTCCTGGCAAGGTGGCAACCAACTCCACATCAGATGCTGAGAGAGAAGAAATGGAGGTGGAGCCCTCCACCCTAGAGTGTTTCTCTTCTTATTCCTATAGGTGTGTTTTACAAAGAAGCTTAGCTGAATGTGATTCTCTCAATCACTTCTACATATAAGCATAATTCCTAACGCTATATCCTCATGATTCTCCATCATACAGTAGGAGGTAAAGCTCTATTTCCCCAAATATATTATGATATACTGACTCCTAGGCACTCATGAAAAAAATGTTATGCCCATGTCTTTTAAATCACTCAACTTAGGGGGCTGAGAATAGCTGGTAATCCTGCCCCCTAAAGCCTCTAAGTCAATCATGGATGAAAAAGTCACAGTCTTCCAGGTTATGTAGGCATATAACCTGGAAGACTGGCATTTCTATACTAGGAACAACCAAACTACATAGACAAGTAATGTTCTCAGAGTGAAAATCTTTCCTCTGAATGCAATAAGGCTTAAACCCAGACAAAGATCAAAAATCCAGGATTGTGAAAACCGTGATCAGACCTCTTGGTGACTGTTTCAGATTTATTCCACCCAAATCTAATCACAAAGCATGGCCGGAGACATACTTTGAATTCAAGCCCAACTGCATCTTCAAAACTGTCCTAATGATATTTATTAGTACCAATAAGGAATAAGTAAAAGTTGTCAGCTGTCTTTTTGCAAAGATTCCAAAAGGATTACCTACTAATCCTTTGAGAATTTGAAAAATCAGTACATCAGCAGATCCCTACACTTAAAATCTACTGAAACTTTTCTCTAGATTAGCAAGGAAACAATTAAGGAAAAGAAACTATGAGTAATTAGCTGCAGAGCACCATCTTGACATTAGCCCATGTGTTTGATTTGGTGGGGCTAGACACAGGACAGTGATTATTAAATCCATATTTTCCTCAGATTTGAAACAGACTTAACTTACCCAAGTATGCTTACTAAAATCAGTTTTGTAGTGAGAGTCCATGACCCATAGGCTAAAAATAAACAGGAACACAAAAAAAAAACTTATTTTATACTATCTGTACATGTAACTGTATAGATTTACATAACTAATGACAATATACCATATACTCAGCATCTATCACAGGGCCCAATATATTCTGGGTTATCAATATGTATTTATTTTATGAATGAATAAATAAAATATTGAATCATCTCTATGAAAAAGACATAGAGTGGCTATAAAATTTTTTTTAAATATCCAATTATCTACTGTCTGCAATAGACTCGCTTCAGGCTTAAAGACACACACAGGCTCAAAGTGGAGTGATGGAAAAAGATATTCCACACAAGCAGTAACCAAAAGAGAGCAGAGTGGCTACACTTATGTCAGACAAAATACACTTTTAGACAAAAACGGTCACAAGAGACAAAGAAGGACTTTATATAATGATAAAAAAATCAGTTCACCAGGAAGATATAATATTTACAAATATATATATGCATTTTACATCAGAACAGCTAAATATATTATGCAAATATTAACAGATCTGAAGGCAGAAATAGACAACAAAGCAATAATAGTAGGAGACTTCAATACTTCATTTTCAATGATAGATAGAATATCCAAACAGAAAATGAATAAGAACACAATGGACTCGAACAACACTATAGACCAAAGAGATCTAACAGACATATATGAAACATTCCACCCAATAGCAGCAGAATATATATTCTTCTCAAGTGCACATAGAAGATTATGCAGGATAGATCACATGTTAAGCCACAAAACTAGTCTGAAAAGATTTCAGAAGACTGAAAGCATGCAAAGTATCTTTCTGTGCAGAGTGGAATGAAATTAGAAATCAAAACAGAAGGAAAACTGGAAAATTCACAAACACGTGGAAACCAGACAACAC